TTACATCGCTGTGCTGTGTTCTGCATCCTTGATATCCATCTCATAGACAGCGAACATAGGAACTGAAATTTGTCCAGTGCTACGGTACCACCGCCTCTATCCTTGCACCATGGAGGTATGCGATGATCAAGTGCCGCCAATAGAGGCTGTGTGAGCGTCAGTAGACCGTGTCGGACTCGTGAAGGTTTGCTGTTCTGTGGTATCGAAGCGTTCGTTACGTATATAAGAGGTTCCACATCTCCAAGTCGCCGCAAGGCCGTCCATCCCGCTCTTATTCCCTCTCGTCGACATCCTCTGCATCGTTATCATTCTCCATATTGACAGGCCACGTCTCGTGCACATAATAATCACTCGTGAGCAGCTACAATCATGTTCTCAGACACTTGCTCATATTAGAACATAAGCCACCTGATCCTGCCATGGCCGCTCCCAACGCAGCCCCGCCGATCAATAACCCTCAGCCTCGGCTTCCGCCAGAGGTCTGCGAGCGCATCATCGACCATCTCGATCCGAATCGTTGGAGTGGGAATATAAGCAGATGGACTCTGTTGAACTGCGCCCTCGTTTGCCGAGGGTGGTACGCAGAGAGCCGCGCGGTCCTTTTCGATGAGCCCATACTCTCTACTCGGAAAGAGGCGATCGCCTGTGCGAGTTCACTGGCGCGGATACCTCTCCTCGGTGCCCGTGTGCGACGCTTGCAGATCAGGTTTTCGGCGCCCGATGTGACAGGTCCGGAGTTTGCATCGATTCTCGTAATGCTGGCAGGAAAATTTCCCAATCTGGCCTCGCTCAGCTTCTTCAACGTCAGCTTCGAGCAGTGCCCTATTCGCAATTTAGCGTTTTGGAGTCTGCACGAATTCAGTCATGTCACATCGTTGGAGCTATTTGGTGTGACGTTGCCATCGGCGATCCCCTTCTTTCAGGTCATCTGCTCATTTCCTCGTCTGCAGCACCTTCAGTGCCACGACCTGCGCTGGAGCGAACCAAGGTCCATGGCTCTACTGCCTGAACGCCGCCGCATGCCTTTGACAACATTGACTTTCCTCTATTATGACCTGTCGTGCTTCGAAGACCTTGGCCATATTCTTCTCAGTCTGCTGGATCAGGCTATGCTCGAAAAACTTATCTTACAGCCACATGTCTCTGCGCCGGCTCTTGCTTTCACTCAAGACACGCTGAACCTAGCCGGCAGGGGACTCAGGATGGCAGCAATCGCTTTCCGGGAACCAGAAGAAGATGCCGATGGCAATTTACAGTCCTTGCCCTGTGAGTATTCCATCAAACAGTGCTCCGTGCACAGCATGGCTCATACTTCTAGAGTGCACCCTATCAGCTTCGAAGCAAATGTCAATCTGCAGACACTGCAACTGATCATCAAGACTGAAGGAATCAATGAGGTTGCTCTCTTTGTCCGGAGCGTGCTGCTGCCTATGCTCGAATCAATATCATCAAAAGGTCTCAAAGATATCCGTTTTCTCATAGACTGTTGGAAACGGAAATGGAGAACAGATGCCATGCTTGATGCATTCGATCCGGAGGTCTGCATTCAGATTGATGAGCTTTTGGCTGAGGGACATTTCCCCAAGCTGCGAGACGTGTCTATAGCTTTTGGAATTTGGTTGGATGACTCACAGCATGTTGGGTTTCGCACAGAGATCTGTGCGCGTTTTCCTAAACTGTTCGACAAGAACATGTTGACGTGCGTCATCCTCCCTTCTTGGATATCTGGCTGAACTCACATGGATGCAGTATCAATCATTTCTGACATCGATTCCCTAGTGATGCTGAGAGGTCATTGAACGCGAAACAATTGGCCGATAAACAGCTTCGTCTAGCCGAGCAAGCCGCCGCATAGGCAAATACTGCCTTTGCACTCAAACCGTCTCGCCTTCACTGTCCTTTCGAACGTATCCTGGACGTGCAGCTCCTTAGCCCCCCAACCCCTCTCCTCCGCCCAAATCTCATCCCATTTACAAACCATACAGACTTCAGCCCGAGCATCGTGCTCTCATCCAACCCGTTCGCTTTTCTCGCGCCGCCGCCGTGATCATTGATACGGCATGCCGTTGCCATGTTCACTGAGGCCTACTGGATACCCCGCATACCATCTCGTCGACAATCACAGTTACCCTCCACCACGGCCATCATGATCAATTTCCCCCTCTTTCCTCGTAATCACCATCTTCGCAAGAAAACCCGCTTCACGTCGCCGAATTTTTTCTCGAATGTCCCGCAGTTTCTATACCAGTTTTGTGTACTCATTGCCGGATGTAACTACTGCACGACAGACAGGTTTCCGTGTTACTATTCCTCGCTTCGCTCAATCTGTACCTATACTTCTACTATGTGATTTCGTTCTTATAGGACTACAAATCCAGACCAGGGTTTCAGCAGTCGGCCTGATCACGGCACGCCTCGCCGGCGCAATGAGCTGTAAGACATCAATGGACATGTATCTGACATTTCACCACCGCGCACTCGATGCAAAATATCAACCATGCCACCAGAGTAGCAGAAGTCACCGGCGCACTTGTGAGAAAAGTCGTATGTGACATTCGCATAGAAACCAGGTACATGCAAGACGTATTTGCGACGAAGACTGAGCAAGGACTCCTTTGGAGGCAGTCTCGTGCTGCCAGATGGCCCGGGGCTGGCAGGCCGCGGGAGGATGAAGTGTGTCGATCCGCACTGTTCGTACACGAGATGACCGAGAATGTCTTTCGCAGACCAAAATACAACTCAAAGGTGATAGTCATCGCTGCGAGAATGCGCAAGAAACGGCGTAGGTGAGTGTTGTCAGATTCCTACAGTCATCAGCCGTAGAAGACACAGTCATCATGCTTGCATCTCACCATCGCTGACTTGCACTTCTCTAATAAACCGGGAAGGCCTCGTCCACCTCCATCGCCCATGCCCTCAATCTGCCTACCAAGTCCTTCACCGTTCCAGTTGTGCCTGCACTCCGCAGAGCATCGACAGCGATCCTCGAGTCGTTCCCAAGGCGACAGATCACATATGTCTCCTCTGGCGCCGCGTCTGGTGGTAGGACCTCAGACGGTTCGTCAGACAAGCCATCACCATTAAGTTTCGTTCCGGAGTCGGGTTGTGAGATATGTAGGGACGGGTTGGCTACGAGCTCTTTGTTAGCAACTAGACGTGAGGTATGCTCAGCGATTTGCAAGGCGATACGCACTAGTCGATCCCGGGAGGTGGCAGATCCCAAACTTGGTCGGTTGCCTGACATCCACAAGCCGCACCTCCTTGCCGGAGTCAACTATCATTTTCAGTTCCTGAGCGTGTACATGCAGAAGGAATCCCATAAGCCACCGACGAGTCTTCGTACCTTGGCGCGTATTCGACTGCCCCGCCTGTCCTCCATTAAACCTCTGCCGACCCAATCCGGGCGTTCCCCGCCGCAGAACATGACGTGGTCCATTTCTTCGACGGTATCCACCTTCTCACGCTCGTTTCCGCACGCATAACAGGTCGGCCGTCGAGAGCGTAGCCTGATGCTTCGAAATGGCGGCGCACTGAGCTCCGAGTACATCACCATAGTCGGCTTCCTATCTATAAGTTCAAGTTTCGAGTTAGCACTCATAATGCTGAGCTCATAGGCTGCACACGCACCATGCAGGCCCGTAATGATCTTGACCACCTCCAGCGCCTGCAATTTCGCAACGCCGCTCGTCACCGCACTGAGCACGCCCAGCTCCTCGCACGAGCCTACCAGCTCGGGGGCCGGCTTCGGGAACAGGCAGCGGAAGCACGGGTCCAAGGCCGAGGTTGTACGTGCACAACTGGCCGTCGAAGTGCTGCGCGGCGCCACTGACGAGCTGGCGGCCGAGGCGCACGGCGGTGTCGGAGAGGAGGTAGCACGTGGGGAGGTTGTCGGTGCAGTCGAGGATGAGATCGAAGTCGGGGAGGAGGGAGGGCGCGTTGGACGCAGTGAGGGCGGTGGTGGTGGCGGTGACTTGGATGCGAGTTGATGCTATATAGGAGTTCTGCAGCGATGACGGCTTTGTGCATTCCAACGTGAGCCTCGTTAATGTAGTATCCGCCGCTGTAGATTGGACAGCTCCACGATGTCATGTTCAATGATACCCAGCCTGCCTGATCAAAGCACTTTTCACTACGCGCAGGGTTATCGGCTCAAGAGGACTCACCTACACCTGCTGCTGCGAGATACTGCAGAGCAGGACACCCCAGGCCTCCCGCGCCAATCACAACTACGGACGCATTTTGAAGCCTCAGTTGCCCTGAATCAGCCGCCTTGCATAGTTCATAGAGAGACACTGGCCTACCTGGAAGGCCTATCCCGTTGAGGATCATCTGTCTGCCATAGTGCTTGTAATCGTCGAGACGCAGAGATGCTGCTTCTGATCGTATGATGACTGTCCTCTACTCCTTGACGCTCTTGACAGGACCTGCTGGAGACTTTGGTGGTGAAGTAGTGAACGCGTCCATCTGAGCAGAGATGAAGTTGACCTCCACCGGGTGGACCGAATTTGCCTCCGAGGTCATCGTTAACAGCCGAATTCATCATAAGCCACGTGGCACCGGCCACAACTGCGATCAAAGTCCAAGCAACTGTACATGCCCGCCTCTCCTCTCCAGTGGATTTGGCTCTGACATCCTTATTCTACTCTACGTGCTGCCATCGCCGCCATTTTGACCAGATTCACCACATTCCATCCTCTCAATCAAGTGGCGACGTTCGCATCTCACTGATCGCGTGATGTCGGTGGCAAGCAACTCTTCATGAAACCGTTCTGCCCATCGATACCCTCAATGACCAGCGTAAGTACGGCAGGCCCTATGGGAATCAACCATTTCGCCTACCTCTCCGCAGACGGCACACCCATCATGCATGCTGGTACGCGAATCCGATACCTTCCACTTCCTCGTCCAATGCGGGAAGTCAATCTCTCCTGGTAGGAAGAAAACCCCCATTTCTGCCGTGGCCTGACATCGGACACTTAACAAAGTGGTCCGTGTCTTCGTACAAGTTTGGCTTCGGCCCGGAATGTCTGCGTGATGACGATCCAGACACGTTCTGCAGTAAGCATCAGCATTTCAACTCTCTGGCTGATTCTCGAACGATACTAATGGCGATATCGCGGTT